AATGTTATCATGCATGACTACACTAATATTTTTAATGATTCGCAGTCAAAAATTATCTACTGTATCATAGTAAATTTTATGTTACCTACACTCTACCCTTAACTTGTAGCTTGATTATTTATGGCCGCAAAGGTTGTTGAAGCTAAATCAAAGGATGTAATTATTTATTAAAAACTTGATCGTTTTAAAATTATTTTATTATAATTTATTTTAATGTGTGACATAAGAAAATGATTGTCACTGTAAAAAATTTATCCTTTCAGTTGTTATGAAAAATCACATGACTACACTCTACCCTTAAACAAATTCCTCCACAAACTCCACTTTCCTCACCTAATTTCTTAACTAACTTCCCATACTCCTCACACCTAACCCGTTTGGTCTCTGGCTCAAGGATGAAATAATTTTTGATGAAATGAACTTTTGACATAAACTTTTGACAAAGTAAACACAACCCATATGTTGAGTTTGATTGCTTGGCGAACTACTAATAGATAATACAAGAGAGGATATAATTAATTCATCATTAATGATTAACTACTTGCAGCAAAAAACCTACTTTAATTTTGGCATCAGAAAAAAGATCTGTAAGAATTACTTTTCTTAACGAGAATAAAAACAATATTATAACATGTTTGTTGAACAGGTACTTTAATTATTGTAAAAATACAAGTTATCTTTATTATCTTAAAAATGATGTCCTTTATATAATAAAATTACATAGATTGATATGATATAAATAAAATATAAATAATAATAAAATATAAATAAAATAATCATAATAATTCTTATCAATCTATCTGGAAGATTTGTGGACATAGATAAGTAATAAATAATAATTAAAGACATGAAATAATTGATGTTACAAATAATGATTAACTATGTGTCACATTTCCAGATGTAAATATTGATGTGCTACACAAGACGTTGTATATGATTACAAAGTAAATTGTTACAAGATCCCACAAACAAATATACGCAAACCTTTATTATATCATGAAATTAAATTCTAAATAACCAAATTCTCTCATTTAACCAAAAAACCACCTCGCCAGATACTGTTTCATTAGTTTTTGTGGTGATTTTTACCAACCTGATCATGAATAGAATCAATAACATTTTTATGATGATAAAAAAATTGCAGGTAATAAAATAAAATAATATTACATTTATTGTTGTCATTAGCATAGTAGAAGTTTGATATTGATCGACATTCGCAATTATCACATTGTATCACAATCAACATTTTATTATGTGTTACATACGTTTCGTTGTATTGAATAAAGAAAATAATAATACACAGACAGACATAACCAAAGTTATTTTTTTTCTTTGT